GGAGCATGGCTAAGTTGTGTCACAGGCCGTGGCTGGACGATCTCCGACTGAGACTGCGCGGCGATTGGATGACCTGGCTGCTTTGCTGCAAAGCACAAAGCCGCAAGTAGATCAAGTGGAAACAGACAATAGCGGTTTCTTTCTGAGACTACACCCCTTTACACAGGAGCGCTTTTGGCAACAAGAAGGTTGCTTTTTTGTCAAGGTTTGAACTTTCGATGTAGGCTGGTCTGCAAGGGGTTGATCGAGCATGACCTTCCCTAGCTCTGTAGTTAGATGAAAATAGCATTTGAAGTATCAGGTGACAGTCAGGATGTGGCGACGAAACTACTGGAAGTGCCACAAGGGACTAGACAAGACTTTTTCCGAGCATGCCGCTGTGCAGGCAAGGTTTGAGGGAGGGCCTGAGAACTCAAGTTTGGTTGGCTTGTTGAGTACATTGTTAGCTAAGTCCAGATATTTCACTAGCTTGCGACAAGGAAAGGCGCCAAAGCGTTCAAGATATGCAAAAGAAGAGGCGCTTGGGGAACAGAATGGGCCGCAGTGAAATTGTTCGGGTGAAGTATCACGAGGAGGTCTCATTCAAACCGCATGCACACTTCCTCTTGTCATTTGCGCTGCATGTCTCCATGTCCATGCCGACTGGGCACGGGTTGTTCTTGCTGGGTGGGTGAAGAATCACGACCACACTTGTGTGGCCATTCAGACTCTACGGAAGGCTTCCTTGGTTCTGGTTAGCAAATTACGCCAGCACAGAACCCAGATAGCATTGGAATCATTGCATTCAAGCTGTCGCGGCTTTTTCACTCGCGTTTCACAATGCTCCTGAAAACATCACATGGACCAAAAGAAATAATGTACACGACACCAAAAACAAGCGTGCACAGCAGACACCCTGCTGCGGCACAAGCCACCAGCTCCTGGCCTTACTACTAGGAACAAGAAGCTACTAGGGGCTCCTGGCCTTACTACTAGGAGCAAGGTTCGCTACTAGGAACAAAGGGAGCACACTGCAGCGGCCTCCAGCCACGCCAGCACACGGGCAAAGACACCGCGCAGCAGCACCCAAGCTCCAAAGCGCACACAGGCACCTCTTCCTATACTTGAAGTAAGAGCCCCAATAGCTCTCACTACCTGGGGAATTATGATTTGCTGGGCCGCGCGGCCTCACCACTGAAAAGCCTGCTCCAGCTTAACAGATCTCAACTAAAGCTAACTTGGGTCTTCTTTCCTGGTGAAAGCAACAGTTTTTAGAAGAAAAGAAAGTAGAAATCAGTTTATAGAAATCAAAGGAAAAAACTTGTTTTGGAATGGAGACCAGAAACTCATCCAGAAACTTCGGACCAGGGCCATTCAACAACAGCGACGTGACGAGCTCAAGGACGCCGCCCAGACGTGGTCGCTACGTTTGGAGGGCAGACAATGGCAACAGGTAAACCAATTGGTAGGAGCAAAGGACGCTACTAGGAGCAAAGGTCATGGCTACTAGGAACAAGGGCCTTACTACTAGGAATACGAAGCTAGTAGAAACAATAAGTAAATAGACTTTAATTAGAATTAAGTGTAATTAAAAGCAAAGGAGGCTACTAGGACCTTTAAGAATCGAAGTGCAAGAAAGGTCATAGCCCGACAGGTAAGCATTCCTCCAGCATGTCTCGGCTTGTTCAAACCCCTTCAAAATAGCTGAGCGATAGTGGGGTGGTTGGGTGGTTGAAAAGCGGAGCTCCTTTGCCCTGACGACAATCACCAAGGGCCATTCGGCTCGCCATTCGGATGAATAGACACTGGGGACTCAAAGCAGGTGAGCCGATAGCATTGGCAAGAGACGTTTATAGACTTACCGTTTGTGAGGCAGCAAGGGACGACTGCAAAAGTGAAAGAGAAGGCGTCTAGTAGCTTCTTGTTACTAGTCCAAATGCCAGGAGCTACTAGTAGCGTACTCGTTACTAGTAGTAATGGCCTCCAACCTAATAGCGATGGCCTCCACCCTAGTAGTTTCTTGCTCCTAGTAGTAATGCCAGGAGCTACGTTCGTAGCGTCCTTGCTACTAGTAGCGATTTCCTTTGTTACTAATGGCAACGTGCCGGCAGGAGATCCGGCTGCAAAAGGAGAAGGCACGTTCTCAGCGGCAGCAGCAGCGCCTGGAGGACGCGGTAACAGCAAGAACGCAGGAAGTGAAACACTGTGAAACGCCATGTCTACATTTGATCAGACCATGCACAAGAGCAACAGTATGGACTTGTTTTGGCAGTGGCTTGATCACCAATACTAATACCATGTGTGACGGCCATACTATTGACAAACCACCCAATACATTTGGAGCACATGCAGGGCTAAACATTTCCGTGAGATGAAAATGTGGTTACTGGTAGCAGGCAGGAGACTACCGCCAAGATTGATGATGCCACCTTTCCCAGTTGATTTGTTGAAGCTCGCTACACAGCGGCATGGGTTTCAGGTGTTTCACATTTTCAACTGCCGCCGTTCTTGTCGCTTTGCACTTGGCAGTAGGACCAACAAAGAAGCTTTTCGGGTCACAAGAAAGCAACTCCGTTTGGAGGCCATCGCTAGTAGGGTGGAGGCCATCGCTAGTAGGGTGGAGGCCATCGCTAGTGAGGCCATCGCTTCTAGGTACTTCCATTTTTGGGTTTATTTCGAGCAGGACCGGGTTCATCAGCTTTTGGCGAGCCTTCGGCCCAAAGAGCGCGTTCCGTGTTGGGCTTCGGTCCGGAAGTCGAAGTCGTTGCGTCGGCGAAAAGGCTTCGGGTTTGTTCCTGTTTGAAGGACTCGGCCGCACGCCATTGTAGCTACAAGCGACGGCCTCCATCCTAATAGCAATGGCCTCCAACCCACATGTTTTGGAGGTGAAAGATTTCAACTATTGAATTGTTTGCCATGTTTTGTCCTGGGCTAGTAGCGCAAAGAATAGGCTTCAGACAATCGCGACCAAGGAAGTTCAGGAAAGCTTCGCTTCGACTGAGATGTGCCAGTTGATGAAGCCTACGACTCGCAAGTTGTTAGATCAGCTTTCTCTATTGAGATTGCGTTTTGGCGGATCAAGACCTGTAGACTCAAGTAGTTGATAGTCACAATGACGATGCTTGTGTTCTTCATGTTGCACAAAAACTTGTGTTCAATCTCTCATAGAGCCTTCTACTAATAACAATAAGCTACTAGGTTGGAGGCCATCGCTAGTAGGTTGGAGGCCGTTACTAGTAGAGAAACTAGGATCAAATCTCTAGAGCCTAACTCTGACGGTGGGTCCACCGGACTCGTCCAGTCTTACAAAGTGCCAGCTCTGTAGTAGCGAACACCGAGAGCTTTCCGGAAAATGCGGAGCGTAGCGAACATTGCTCCGTTCGTAGCGATGCCAGGAGCTCCTAGTAGCGTCCTTGTTCCTACTAGTAAGGCACTTGTTAGTAGTAACGATGCACTTGTTACTAGTAGCTACTTGCTCCGTTCGTAGCGATGCCAGTAGCCCCGTTCGTAGCGTCCGGAGAGTTCCGAGTGGCAAAATGTGTCCATCCAGTTCCGAGTTCCGGTCTCGGACGGTCTCCGCGGACGTGACATCCGCTGAGCGAAGCGGTCTTTTCAGTAAGTCTGTATGAAGTCCCTCGAGTCTCAACAAGAATCTTTGCGATTCTTTAGACAGGAGCAGGGAACAGAAACCAAAAGTACGGGACCTAGGTAGCCAAAAGTGGAAATGGACGGGAAGCATCAAGGAAGTTCTGAACAACCAGTGTTTGCCGGTTCCAAAGACGAACCCAACGTGGGTTTCATGTCGCAGTTGAGTTTGGACAGATCGAGTTTTGACATTGGATTGACCAGATCTGCCCCGGAATGCATGCAGAAAGTCATCCCAAGTCACCTAAAAGCCTTTCCAAAGTCAGATGCCTTCAGCATCCTGCCTTTGATAGGAAGATCTTTCAGGAACCCAGTCGTGTTCTTTTCTTTGTAAGGTGTGATACTATCCCAGCAATTTTGCCACTTCAGAGAGAGTTGTTAGGGTCGATTTTGTTCAACATGTTGTGGAGTCACTGCATGATTCTAACCAGCTTGGTAGTGGGAATCGTCATTTTGACCTCTTAGCTTCAGCGTTGCTTCCTTCCTGTTGGATATCCATGGCCAAACAGTGCACTCGCGGTTTCACGATGGAATCCCAGTAACAAATGGCCTCCAACCCAAAAGCGATGGAAACGAAGAGTAGTTCCCGGAAAGACCATTGGTTTGCTTCTGGAAAGATGCACCTCCGTCCCAGCATGCTGTGTTTTGATACAAAGCACATCAACGACAGAGGTTCTGCCAAAGCTTAAAGTCTTTCTTTTTGGAGTTGCTAAGTTTTGTCAAGTCCTCCCAAAGGCTTACATGTTGCTACGCATGAAACTCCTTGAGCCCGTATGGACTTGAGGGCTTCAAGGCTCCTGAGCCATTTGTTTTAGGAAAGCGCCTCAGTAGAGGACACCAGCGATGTGACCACGCTGCTCGGACACGTCAGCTGGGCTACCAGGTCCAAAATTAGCAGCGTGGTCGGATGCAATGGACTCGGCAAGGACCAGGAATAGGCTTGGGAAGCCACTCTCGGGTGCTTGCAGGCGAAGCCAAAGACCACTTGCGAGGTGGGAAGCTTCCAAATCACGCTTGCTCTAGGTCGGTCCTCAAGGTGAGTTTCTTATGCACGCTGGTGAGCCAGAGACAGACTCAAGAACACCCGCGCCCCACTGCCAAAGGCACACCCGAACAGAACCATGTGCAGCTGCCCCGTCACAAGCAGTGTGGGTAAGCGTTTGCCAGCTTGGCGTCACCTGGGCATGTAAATCTACGTGGCACTTGCAGGATTCGGCTTACAAGTTCGCTCGTGCTGCTCAACCGAGTCTAACAACTTAGTCCGCATGAAACAATGCAGCACACGACTGACAGGAAGGGCTTGGTTTGCCACTTTTCTGACGGCCTGCGCTTGCTCAAACTTCTGCAGCTTTCAGTTTTGGTCATGACATGTAGCAATGGCTGAGCAGGGTTGCTCAGGAGTTGACATTGCCAGCATCCAGCACATTTGCAATTCTTGCACCTTCTTTTGCGTGAAGAGCCACTGAGGGGGAGTTTCCGTTTCCTGACGTTGATCAAGCCGATCTTATGGCTGGTGCCCGAGGCACCAATGCGCACCCAAATTCAGTCGCGACAACTTCCCAAAGCTCTCAAAGCTGCACACTGACAAGTTCTCAGTTTGGAGGCCATCGCTAGTAGGTTGGAGGCCATCGCTAAGAGAAACAAGCAAAAAGAAAAGGATGAATGGTCCAATACTTTTTGGTTGATCACTTCATTAGCCGGGTCAACCTACTCACCTATGGTCAAGGGTGTTAGGCGAATAGTCGAAAGAGGAGAGACGACACCAACAGAGTATGTGAGGCCACCGACCCAATGCCCACCGTGTAGAAATTGAGTCAATTAAACTTCTTGAACCACAAAGTTGTGACAGTTTTTCAAATGATGCACCACAGGTGAACGCGCCAGAGCACCGGGTGCCTTTCAAAGAGAAGGTCTGTTGGACCGCGATATCTCTTTTTGTCTTCTTGGTCGCTGGGCCGCAATGGTGAATCCATGAGCACCCTCTTGCGGAATTGGAAGACAACACGAGAAACATATCGCAACGTTGCAACATGTGACCCAAGCATGGATTGAAGAATGAACCTTTGCCTTTACTTTCTTGTCCTCCCACAGTGCTCAGAAATCCTGTGCCATCGGGTGTTCGGCGGTGCATGGAGGCACAATTTTACCTTCAAAATCCTATTTAGTTTAGTTTAATGTCCAACCGAATAGCGATGGCCTCCAACCTGGAAAGTCCAAAATGTTCCAAATAAGAACTGAAGTGTTCCCTTTCCTCACAGAGACATGGATGTGAATTGTTCCCTGTGTTGATGTTGTTCAAGTAGCAACGTTTCACGGAGGGTCATTCACAAAAGGACACTAATGTGGCACTAAATCGAACCATGGGTATGTAACTGTATGTACATAGGAATCAAGAGAATAAAGAACGATATTGACATGAATAAGAAGTATGCCAAACAGAAGCGCTGCGAACCCTAAGTCACAGAAAGGGTACTTGGCGTTCGTCACGGGGCCTGAGGTTTGCTGCCAAATTCCCGTCTATGGCATCGTTACCTCAAAGAGTCTGGGCCCTGTGTCAGCTGAAACGTGGAATTGGGCCCAATGTCGATGCCGTTTGCTCCGAGCCCCGTTCGTAGCGTCCGATCGCTCCTAAGAATGCATTGTTCATTTGCCTTATAGTTATTGTTGTTTTCTTATTTCTTTCCTTAGACTCTTAGTTTGTCTTGGACCTTTCTTCCTTTCTTGCTTCATCCCACTTTGTAAAACAGTGAGTTTGTAGCATCGTTTAGCAATGTTTGTAGCCCAGTAGCATGAGGCAATGTGGAATCGGAATTCTACTTCAAGTCTGTTGCATGTGTCCTGTGTGGCTTGTCAGTTTTTGCCAAGGGATACCTGACATTCCTGTTCAAAGTACTCTTTTCGGCAAGAATATCCATGAAATCGGGTGTTCTACCATGAGTTGCTGGCTTTTGAGTATCAGAAAACATGTTTCAGCCAAAACATTGCATGAGTTGCTGTATCAAGGGAACTATTTTGCATTGAGGACTTTTCCCATTTCTACTACTCCTTATTCTCGTTACAACACCACAAAGTCTGTGCGTGAACAGGTGTCCACAAAACTGTTTGGCAAACTGGAAGAGGATTGTTTTTATGGACCAGAAAAGGTGCTTGTCATGTTTTAAATCACTGGAACTGCAAAAAGCGCCAGGCTCCTCATGAGGCCTGTTTCGTGTAGGTAAGGCCAAGGAGCCGAGTAGAGCAGTCTTCTTGCACCAAAGCATTCTGTCTGTTGAAATTCTCAAAAACATGAGCCAAAGCCTTCAAGGCCTTCAATGGGGCCTCCACCTTTCAACCAACGGTCCAGGTGCCGATCCGTTCTACTGGATGCGGGTGATCTTGGCCTCGAACCGGGGCACCTTAATGGAGTCCGGGAACTGAGGACCGTTGGGAGCGAGAGCCCCAAAAGAAGGGCGAACTGGAAGCTTGCACAGGTGACCATCGTTTTTGGTACTTTTGGGGTTTCTTCTTTTTTTCGGCGGTGGCCTACCCCCCCTACTACTTAATTGAGTATGGAGTTAAGTAAAGAGTAGGTAGACACGCTTCTAGGATGCCGGGCCTAGATCTTTAGAAAAAGATGGTGCACCAAAAGAAGGACGGACGAAGAGTAGCTTTGGGCGTGAGGACTTGAGACCTGGAGAGAGTCGAAAAAACGATATGATGGAGGTCGCTAGTAACTAGTAGGTTGGAGGCCGCTCAAACCATGATTCTCAAGAGAGTTGACACCAAAATCCGCAAAATCCCCTCTCTGGATTCCTTGCGACTCCTGCGTCTGAGGCTGGGCATCTCTCCCATTGTCACCTCTGGAGCGGATTTCGCTGGGGTCGTCGGCTCCGTTCGATCTTCCGTTTGGGTGTGCGTCCAAGAGAGACTAAAACCCAAACAAAAGTTATCCAACTGGAAATAGAACCGAGTTCCTGCTCATCAATCAGACATTCTGGCAGAAGAGGTACCACCTTTTGGCCAGATGATGAAGTACCACAGTATGTTGGGGTCGAATTGTTGTGATGTTTGCTGTGTATCCGAAAATGGGAGGGCGTTTTGCCGAAGAGAAGCGATCGATCGATCCGTGGCAGGATGGGTGATGCAGCTCCTGGCCGGCTCACGAATCATTGAGGTGGATCAGCGCCTTCTGGCATGTGTTGACACATGAATCACCACAAAAGACACCAGCTCAAGAAGGCCCTTCTTTGCTCCACCACAAGGCTCTTGGGTCTTGGGGTTGATTGGCCCCGTACCTGACGTGCAAATCTAAAGGCCAAAGAGAGGAGCACCGTTTCTTCAAAAGAGTTTTTTGTGTGATGCACATGAAGCTCCGTGAACTTGTGAGTGTTCCAAGTTGATAATGCTGGTTTGGATATCGGTTTGAAGCAATTCAGTGCCTTGCATATGGTGCCACTGGGCAATGATTGGCTTCTGACAATCATTCAGCGGCACTTACTTCGTTGAACCTTTTGGCCAGGAGTCTCAAAGAGGACCGAAACCTCTTCTTTGCCGCGCAGAAGCTCTTTGGTCTCCTCATCACGCTGGGTGAGGCGCACATGTTGGATGGAGAGGAGTAGTGAATGAAGGCTGCTAGGGGCCCTACAAGGCCCTACAGGGGTCACAGAGAAAGCGAAAGGGGCACAAAAGCACATCTGTTTGGAACGGAGAAAGTTTGTTCATACGTAACGTGTGATGGTATTCCTCACAAGCACCTCCCGAATGTAGACTGGAAGGACAGGAGATTTGGACAAGCCGCACGGCTGAGGCCATGTTAGAAGAATGCCCTCTCCTAAGGAGTAAAAGGGCAGTCACGTCCATATGGCCAACGTAGTGAGGAAGGGGTGGCAGTTTCTTGCTGACATTTGTAGGCCTTTGCCTATGTGGTGAGTGGCATGTATGGAGATCCGTCTTGGCCCAAGAAGCTACAACTGACCACATCAGACTCATCGTCACAGAGCATCGTGAGCGTTTCTAGTGAGTTGCAGAAGCATTTTTGCTTGTAGTAAGAAGTAGTCGCCAGAAAACAATGCAATGTGCGCAAGGAGGGATGTTGTTTTCATTGTATGTGGTTCACATTATGTCACAATACACCCACATGGCATTTGGTATGAAAGTGCAATGTTTGTCTCTCCTTTCCTGCAATCTTCAATTGAGGGAGGACGCTTTGCCTTACAACAGCATCAGATTTATGTACAAGACACCTTTCGAGCAATGCCTGTCACTGACCAAATAGGCAACGTTACGACAGGCTGCCACACGATGCCATTGATTGTTCATAGGGAACATTCCACTTCTACAAGTAGATCTCGGACTCAACATGAAAGGGCTTTCTCGAAACAAGAATGCTAGGTTGGAGGCCATCGCTATTAGGAGCAAGGACGCTACTAGGGGCTCCTGGCCTTACTAGGAACAAGAAGCTACTAGGGGCTCCTGGCATCGCTACTAGGAGCACGGACGCTAGTAGGTTGGAGGTCATCGCTATGAGCGTCTCGCCTCTTCCGCCTCTTCCTCTTCTCTCAAAAGATGGGTCATCGGGGGCCGAGGCGTGCCTTAGGCATGGGCATGAGCTCGCTGATCATTGCGTCAGTTCCCAAGTGGGAGAGACTGCAGCCTGTCGCATGTCGAGGGTCGTTTCTTGACTCGTTTTGGATTAGGTTGTCTCATTGTGCTTCTCATTAGAGGTTTCCTTTCTCGGATTTTTGGATTTGTTGGACCTTTGTGCCTGGTGGCTTAAACAAAGGCTACAGACGCCAAGCGACGCATGAGCTACGTTTGGGCTTGGCTGAGGCAGCTGTTCTTTGCCGGAGTCATTGCAATCCTGCTGGGAAGCTCGGGGTACAAGCATTCAACACGGTAGAACTCTGGTGGTTTTGAGAAAGGGTTCTTTTTTCAAGGAGTGTTGTTTCTACTAAGAGGTATGAAAGTCTAAACCGAAGAGGTCGAAAGGTTCAACACGAAAGTGTCCTAGCTTGTTCCAGGAATCTGAGACTTAAGGACCTCACAGTAGCATTTCTTGTTCACGGAGGCGTTTGGTTTGAGACGGTTTCAGCAGACCGCAAGCCTTTTAGATCAATTTTGTATTTGGAGGTTCGCAAACTCAAGATTGATTGCAACTACATCACTACATCTGTCAAATCTCAGGGCTCGCGCCTGTTCATGTTCGGTATCAACATTCTGCCAGAGAAGCCACACAGGGATCTCCTAGTCAAAGTGCTTTGCATTCTAAACTGCACATGTGCCATTTTCGCTTGGAATTGCATTTCAACGGGAAGGCTGTTGAGCTTGTTTCCGGCCAACACATTTTTTTGAGGGAAGCAGTAGTATGTACAAGGAACCTGTGAAGGTCAACGGTAGTACGTACTCATTCAAGGAAGGAAGGAAGGAAGGAAGGAAGCTCGGTCTAAAGGTGTAAAGAAAGAAATGAACAGTTGAGCAAGCAAGATCAGGCAAGTTAGATATAGTTTCCTCGTTTTTGGATTCCAAAGGGGGTGTGCCACATTCCAGAAAAGCATTGCCACAAGAAGCTTCGATCAGCTCCTGCCTTCCATGTGAATACTGTGAATACGTTGTTGTAAGCCACACGTTGTTGACCTATGTGAAGCAGGTCTTGCAAGTCTTGCGATGGCTCAAAGTCGAACCTTTGCGTCGGACCAAGGCTAGATGAGCTCTTGCAAAAGGTGCCGCCCCACGGCCCGGTGTGTGCACTAAGAGAGGTATTGTCGTGTTCCACTCTGGCACAACCAGACGTGACCGACATTCGTGAGCCTAGGACTTACAAGTGTTAGTCTTAAATGAACAGGTTTCAGACTGCATAGGACAAGACCTGCATCTTCTGGAAATCCTCAAGAGGCCCCTCCCGCTGTGCGAAATATCCCTGGTCCTCTAGGGACATCCTGTGGCGCTGATTCTAGACTGACACCCCTTGACACCACTAGAGAAAGCAAGCATTTCTTGCTAAACCAAACAAATATGGACCGTTCGAGCGATCAGCGGGTATGCAGCTGATGGAGTCTTCCCCCGTTTGATCTTAGAACCTTCTTCAACCTGTGACACGAGTTTGGTTTGTGGCCGATGCCTTCTTTTACAGCTTTCTTTTTGGAGTGCTTTGCATGACAAGACGTGTCATCGTTGGTTCTGGGTGAGGGCAGGATCGAAGGTGTCCGTCACATCCAGGGCTATGGCCTCGGCTCCGGCATCTCACTGTTCATTGCTACCAGCATTTGCGAAACCATCGTGTGGAAGGCCGGGACAACATTCGCATCAGCCGAATCCCAAGCAGTGCGACCGCGAGCAGGGCTGGAAATAGCAACCCGCACCGATACACGAATCCATCAGGCTGTCCCCAGATACACCGCACCGATCTCATGGAGTAAAGACTGGTCATGCGAGTTTCGATTTCACACTGCGCCTGTCAGAAAGACACAAAGCGAGACCTACCGAAAATGCAATATAGTATCTCTTCCAAATAGGTCACAAAAGACTCAATACCACAACCTCTGAACCAAAGTGTCAAAGACAACACGAGCAGTTTCCCCAAGGATGGGTAGTTTAACAAGTACATAATCTAGCTGAGAAACCCAAGACGAAATGATTTGGCAAAAGGTCATGCACCTACCAACCACATGCGGCACTAATTGTTATGCGACACACAATCAAAACATGGCAGTGACACGGCCCCAAAACAACCAGAGTAAGACTGAGGCGTCGCCAATACCTAACCTAGACACAACCAAAGACAAGACGAAAAACCTGACCCAAACAGCAAACCGAGATGACACAGCATAACCGAGACGAATCGCAACGAAAAGAAGTCGCCTAACCGAGATGATCGGGACGACACTACTGTAGACCTCTCTTTATTCAGTAGGCGCCTACTGAATTGAAAAGGGAGTCAACACGCTCCTAGGAGAAGTTCGCAGGATAGCTCACCCTTCAAGGAGCGCTCGCACGAATGATTTTGTTCCTAACTTGTTTGAGAAACTTGATTAATAGCGATGCCCTTGGTACTAGTAGCTTCTTGTTACTAGTAGTAAGGCAAGGAGCTACTAGTAGCTTCCAGCTACTAGTAGTAATGCCCTTGTTTTCTCGGTTTGTAGGGAAGCTTAAGAGCTTTTTGTTCCTAGTAGCGATGCCAAGGAGCTACTAGTAGCGTCCTTGCTCCTAGTAGTTTGTTCCTAGTAGCTTCTTCTTACCGCAGGTGAAACGATTCCCAAGGAAGCTTCTAGCTACTAGTAGCTTAAGAGCACCACATTGCCATGCCCTTAGACCTTCTTTTCCTTTCCTGCTTAATCGTTTCCAGCCAAATCAAGACGTTCTTTCTTGCTGTTCCTTATCAAGCTCTTTGCAAGGCCTTAAGCTTCGGACTTAACTAACACATGCTACAACAAAGAACGTGCAGACATGCACGGCTTGCAACCTGAGAAGACATTTTGTACACAAGAAAAGGCTCTGCATGTGTGACATCAGAATCCCAAAGAATCCCAGTCCCTTCAGAATAGACTAGGTAGCTAGTAGAAGCTAGGTAGCTACTAGCTACTTAAGCTACTACCCAGGACGCAGGATAGCTCACCCACTATTCATGTGGTTCCTAGACTTTTAGGGAAATCAATAGCGATGGCCTCCAACCTACTAGCGTTACTAGCGATGGCCTCCAACCTACTAGCTTCTAGCTACTAGTAGCTTCTGGTTCCTAGTAAAGGCTTAACATATAAAGCCCGTGGAGCTCGATACACCACACATGTTCGTCCAAAACCGTGGAGGCCTTTAGCCCCACCACGATCAACACCGGGAAGGGTACAGAATTTGAGGGTGCCATCGTGGCCCTGTTTGCTCCTGAGCGTCGTGCCGCAAATGTTGTCGAAAAATGCGTACGGTTTTTGGTTTCAACTGACAGTGTTTATGTCAAAACATTGCCAATTTTTCTATGTCAAACATTCCTTCCAGCAGTTCTTGTATGCAATGGCCCATAGCCCCATAGCCTATTTGGAGAGATCGTCGGAAAAATAGAGAATGCGCGGTGTGTACAGAGTTGCAAGGGAGCGTGTTGAGAACTTGTGGAGCACTTCTCGCAGAATTCAGGTTCCACATCATGATCTCCCGGCCAGACAAAAAGATGGCGCTGTCAGAAGCCTTTTTCAGACAAACTGTCACATCCTGAGGTGCTGACAATGCACGAGTTGATCAGGTTTTTTCATGAATTTCACCCAACCCTGTTGGGTCCCTGAGCAAAGACGTGCACAGAGCGAAGCGTTTACAGAGTAAGACAAATGACCTTGAAGCCGCCAGAAGCTACGCCACGACCAGCATCGATTCCAAGCAAACGAAACGAAAGAAACGTGGCACGGTGTCGGCGAATGTCGTTAATCCAGTATCAAAACGAAAGCCCTTAAGGCCTTCATACTGCCCTTTGTTACGGTAGCATCCTTGCTCCGTTCGCAGCGATGCCCTTTGTTCCTGGTAGCACGGCTCCTTGCTCCTAGTAGCGATGCCAGGAGCCCCTAGTAGCGTCCTTGCTCCTACCCCCCCGCGCGCGTGGGAAAAGGTCCTAGTAGAGTCCTTTGCCACTAATTTTTATTCTAATTAGACTTAATTCTATTCTAATTCTTGTTACTAGTAGTAAGGCCCTTGCTCCTAATAGTAAGGCCAGGAGCCCCTAGTAGCGTGCTCTTGCTACTAGCATGAAACCAATGGCCTTGAGGCCTTGAGACTGGAAGCCCGGTACGTATGGACGTGGAAACTCTGTCTTGACGTCCGTTGCCTTTTTCGGCCCCCGAGGCGCCCAACCTCACGAACCTCATCGCAACGCTTCTGGTCTTCTTCATTGTCATCTACTTCCAAGGTTTTCAGGCACAAAACTGGCCTAGATGGGGGAATTCATTGCAGAATTACTAATAGCAATGGGTTTTCAACCTAATTTGGTGTTTTCTCTCAGTAAAGTTGTTCTGATATGTTTCCACAAGACGGATCTTTGTTCCTTCTTCGTTGTTTATGGCCTTTTTGGGCAGAGCTGTGACAAAGGGTGCCTCCTCATGGACGGTTGGATGGCTTCCCAGCATCTTCCCCATCTTTGGCACACCCTTTGGAGTCACACGTTCGCCCAGTGGCAATGCAGCATTTCCACAGCTATTGTGTATTATGCACGAAGGAAGTAGTTTTGGATGTCCGGTGAAGCCTTCATCTAGGAAGAAAAGCATCCTTTAGCAACTGAAGTGGTCCGTTTCATCTGTCGCATTTGGGCCAGGTGGATCTTTCTTGCAAATTCCACAAGATCCGCGGTCATCGCGGCATCTACCCAGTCAAGACCTCAGGCAATCGCTGCGCTTATCGCTTGGAGCATGGCTTACCTGAAAGGTCCGACTCTTCTACACCTCCAACATCTCCATCATTCTTCAAACTGTCGAAAGCTTGGTGCAACTGTGGAGAGGGCCTCTCATAGCCTAGTTGCGCTGGTTGCCATGAAGCAAAGGAATCAACACATGTTGATGAAATCGAGCCGACATGGTGACTTAATGATTTCTAGCCTACTATTTTATTGCACGAGTTGAAGATCTCTTTGGCACCAAACATGGCTTGAAGGCACTAGTTTCCAACCTCTACTTCTTCTCTCAGCTTCTTTACCGACGGCCGCTTGCACGCAAAGAACTAGATCCACGGCTCATTGACGGCCGTGAGGTTTTGTAGGGTTTTTGGTACATTGCAGACGTCGTAAACCTTTAGCCTGACTGGGTGTTTGACAGACTTGGGAAGTGTTTGTATTGGGACCGCAACCTTGCTGGGGAGGACTCAAACTGAGCATTTCGCTACAATGATACGCACATGTCACATGTTGTTAGTCTCTTGAACAATTTCCAAACTACTTAGTTTTTGAGAGACTTGATGTTTTTCTTTTTTTAATGCACCTTCACACTGACTGGGGGCAGATGTTGTAAGTGTCAAAGGAAGCGTTTGTCCATAGGGAAATTTATGCACATCTTTTACTTCAACAGCGTCAACAAGATGTTCAAGAACTCGTGCGGAGAGTCTCTGAGGTGTTCTTGGCAGTATGCATACATGTACACGTACTCACGGACTCTCTCATTCAGCATGCTATGCCCATTTTCTTTTGTACTTTGCAACCAAGTGATGGGGCTGTAGTTGGGTAAAAGTTCGTTCCGGACAAAATGCAGTTGCATAGCATGTGCAACGTTTGTCATTATCCCGACCCCACCCCCCACCCCACCCCATATCACAAAGCAAGTCAGTTCTGTCGCATGTGCGTAGCTTTCCAGGAAAGCTCGAAAATACTGCATATAACGTCGAAAAAAGTATAAACACACACACGCACACACACGAAACGCCACGGCCGTCCACAAGCCGAGGTCCAACTACTCAGATGGTCACTGTTAGTTGTTTCCCTTTTTGCTCTCTTTGCTGCTTTTCCACTGCTTTTCTATGTGTGTTTCCAAAGTGAACAAGGTCAACAGTAGTAAGGGGAATTTACAGAAGAAATGAAGAAAGGTCTGAAGAAAAGTGAAGAAAGAAGGTAAATGAAGAAAAGGACAGTATTCTACAATAGAGTAAAGACGAAGAAGTAGGGAATTGGTTGCGAAGGCCCAAGACCTCGCGCCTTTCATGCAGCATTCTTGCTGCAGTTCTTCTAGGGTGGAAGCCACTGCTTCTAGGGTGGAGGCCATTGCTACTAGGGTGGAGGCCATTGCTACTAGGGTGGAGGCC